CTAGAGATGGAGCTGGAGCTGGAGAGATGGCTCAGTGGTTAAAAGCACTTGCTGCTCTTGCAGAGGTCCTGGTTTTCATTCCCAGCAATTATATGGGGTAGTCACAACAGCCTGTAACTCCAGTTCCAGAAAATTATAATGCCCTCTGCTGGCCTCTGAAGGCACCTACATGCGGTATAGACACACGCGCACGCGCACACACACTCAGGTTCGCACACACATACACATAAAATAAAACAATAAAATAGCCTTTTAAAAAACATTTCAGGTTTTGGACCATTTTGGATTTTTGTGTTATAAACACTTAACTTTCGGTAACATGGAATTTGGCCAGTCAGGATGTATTTCCTAACTTTCTTCTGTGCCCAGGTTCCTCAGTGAACCCCATCATCCTGTTGTGAGGACTAAATTAGGAAATGCACACAAATTTCTTACATATGCCAGCCTGGCTTCTGTCTAACTAGAGGAGGAAAAGTTTAAGCTGCTTTCCACATCCCGTTTTAACTCAGGGTGCCACCCAATGGGCTGGAAGAAAGGCAGAGGCAAGAGAAAAGACCTAGGGGAATCCAGAGGAGGGGCTGCCAATTTCTATATTTATTTATTTATTGAGACAGGGTCTCATGTACCTAAAGTTGGCTTCAAGCTCACTGTGTAGTTGAAGATGACCTTGAATTCCTTCCTCTTCCTCTTGCCTCTCTTTCTCAAATTCAAGGATCACAGGTACTTCCCAGCACCATACCCCACCACACGCTGCTGAGAATGGAATTTAAAACTCCGCTCGCGCCAGGAAGTACGCCATCAGCTGAGGAGTACCCCCCAGCCTGCTCTGGCCAACTGAGCTGAAAGGGAAAGCAGGCCTTTAGTTACCCACAGGCTTTGTCTGTGTCAGGAAGTGTTTTCTCTCTCTGAATGACTTGCCTCAGTAGGAAGCAGGATGAGCTGGGCAGTGGTGGAGCACGCCCTTGACCCAGCACTTGGGAGGCAGAGGTAGGCAGATCTCTGAGTTCCAGGCCAGCCTGGTCTTCAGAGTGAATTCCAGAACAGTTAGGGCTCTATAAATAACAAACAAACAAACAAAAAAGGATGGATAAAGCATCTCCTTGGGTGTTTACCTTCAGGTCAGTGCTAGTCAGAGTATAGTCTGAAAAGTCCAGTGCAGGGACTCCAAAAGGTGAATAGAAAGGAAGTCAGTATTAGTATTCAGACGTTGACTAAAGTTTTTGTCGAGACAACGTTATATTTCTCAAGCTGGTCTCCGGGGCTACAGGAATTCTTCTGCCAAGGCCTCTGCTGCTGCAGGGACTCTGGGCACATACCACTCTGCCTGGGGACGGGCAGCTTTACATCTGCCAGAGCTAACAACGAACACCAGGGTGTAATTCCACCTCTCTATTAATGAACAAGTAATTTAAGGTTTGAACTAATTTTCTCACAATCATTCAGTTTATTTAACCTTACAAATCTGTGGTTTCATAAAACTTGAAAGTTTGAAAATGTATATTTTACCATTGACAGTTTGAGTTACACTACAGTGTAACATAATTGGAACTTAATTGAGACCATTATGCCAATTTTGAAAACTAAGGACCAATATTAGGAAAGTCTTGAGTCTAAACCCCTGTTCCTAAGAACAGGCCAAACTAATAGCTTAAAACGATTCTGGAATTTTCATTGCTCATCACATTTGTTAGTTCATGAGTACCAAGATGAATATTGAATTTTTTTTTCAAATATAGAAAAAAATACGAGCATTAAGGGAGACAAGTCTAGTTTTTAAATCTACCTTATAAAATATTCATGCTTACTTATTTATTTTTATGTGTGTGGGGCTGTATGTATGTCTGTGCACCATGTGCATATACAAGCCAGAGAGGGTGCTGGGTCCCTTGGGACTGGAGTTACAGATGGTTGTGGGCTACCATGTGGGTGCTGGGAATCAAACCCAGGTCTTCTAGAAGAGCAGCCAGTATTTGCAACCACCATGTCATCTCTCCAGTCCAAAATATGCATATTTGTGAGGCAGATCAATACATACTGACAGGGAGTGAAGCCCAAGATGTGTTAGGATATATATATATATATATATATATATATATATATATATATATATACCTATATATATAAATTATATATGCTATATAATGTTATACATTTATTATATGATATAGCATGATTGTAATATATAGTATCTATTACATTTAATATATCATATTATTACATATTATAGATATCATAATATGATGACATATAACATAGGGAAGGGAGAGATACTTGTAATATAATGCTTATAGTTACAAAGAAAAACTGTAGGCATAGAAAAAGTTCAAAGCTAAGGGGCTTGAGAGGTGTATTGATTTCTTTTCTGCCACTGTGATGAGATATCATAAACAAAAGCAACTTATGGAATGATTTATTTTAGCCTGCAGTTCCAGATCTGGAGTCCACAGTTGTAGGAAGGCATGTCAGGCCACCAGAAGTAGGAAGCTAGCTGGTTACATTTTCATCCACACAGGAAGCAGAGAGAGAGAGAGAGAGAGAGAGAGAGAGAGAGAGAGAAGAGGATGCAGGGAGAGGCTAAAGACCCTCAAATCTTCCTCTGATCACTTGTGTCCTCTAGCTAGGCTCTGCCTCCTAAAGGTCCCATAGTTTCCCCATACAGTAGCCCCAGGAGAAAAGCAAATGTTCAAATAAATGCATCTAAGAGCGACAGTTCTCTTCTGAACGCAGAGCCTGCTGCTCTTCCACAGGCCCTGAGTTCATAGCCAGCACCCACACTGGGCCGGCTCACCAACACTTATACCTCCAATTCCTGGAGATTTGACACCTTCAGTCTGTGGCATACACACACTGCACACACACACACACACACACACACACACACACACACACACACACGTCTGCAGAGGCACACATACACAAAATTAATTTTTTTTTCTTGAATAGAAAGCACTTCAAACTAATATAACAGATTAACAAATGCTCTTCCCGATGAACAGCGCTTGCACGATTACCCATGTTAAATGTGTTTCAAATGTTTTCTGTGAGTAGAGGATTTTTTGGGTAATAAGAGAATGTTTACGTGTTGCAGCTCTGCCTTTTTCTGTTTTTGCTTTTGACTGAGCAGTTTCCACAGAAGACACACGTGACCCTGCGGCAGACCTGCTGTGTGCCCATTCTTGAGTCTTCTGTGTGGAAGCCAAGACCTATCTCTGAAGGTTTTATATGTCATTCTGAGCAAATCAGGTTTTTCTGTTTTTTGTGTTTTTGTTTTTTGTTTTGAGCAGAAAAGGGAGATTTTTCACATAGGTAACATGCTCAGAAACACTCATTTCAGTTTTCTTTACATTTCATTTCCAACCCAGCTCTCTCCAATAAACAGGGTAAGAAGTCAGAAACCGAAATGTTTTCATTTGAAAAGGCTCGTTTTTTAAAAATGAAGATGGATTACTCATTATCAAGCAGTCCATATTTTCAAACCTAAAATTTTTAAATCCTCATCAGTCATTATCAGTGAAGCAATTAACTACCACATTTGCTCAACTTTAAGACCCCTTATGGTAAGGCACAGCCGTGGGCCGGTGGATCCTGACTAGTGTGTGCAAAGACCTAGGCACAACCCAGAGATGAAACAACAGAATAAAACAATATTTTATGTGTCACGAAGACAGAAAGAGGGCTGGAAAGATGGCTCAGAGATTAAGAGCACTGACTGTTCTTCCAAAGGTCCTGAGTTCAACTCCCAGCAACCACATGATGGCTCACAACCATTTATTTATTTATTTATTTATTTTTGACTTTTTTAATTTTATTTTTCTTTATTAATTACACTTTACTCACTTTGTATCCTCCCCCCATGGTTCCCTCCCTCCTCCCGTCCCAATCCCTCCCTTCCTCCACCCTCTGCATGCATGCCCCTCCCCAAGTCCACTGATAGGGAAGGACTTCTTTTCCTTCCTTCTGATCCTAGTCCATTAGGTCTCATCAGGAATGGCTGCCTTGTCCTCTTCTGTGGCCTGGTAATGCTGCTTCCCCCTCAGGGGGAGGTAATTAAAGAGCAGGCCAATCAGTTCATGTCAGAGACAGTCCCTGTTCCTATTACAATGGAACCCACTTGGATACTGAACTGCCATGGGCTACATCTGTGCAGGGGTCTTAGGTTATCTCCATGCATAGTCCTTGGTTGGAATAGCAGTCTCAGGAAAGACCCCTGTGCTCAGATTTTTTGGTTCTGTTGCTCTCCTTATGGAGTTCCTGTCCTTTCCAGATCTTACTGTTTCCCACTTCTTTCCTAAGATTCCCTGCACTCTGCCCAAAGGTTGCCCATAAGTCTCAGTATCTACATTGATAGTCTGCAGGGCAGAGCTTTTCAGAGGTCCTCTGTGTCAGGCTCCTGACTTGTTCCCTCTTTTCTTCTTCTGATGTCCAGCCTCTTTGCCTTTCTGGGTAGGAATTGAGCATTTTAGCAAGAGTCCTCCCTCTTGATTAGTTTCTTTAGGTGTACAGATTTTAGTAGGTTTATCCTATGTTATATGTATATATGAGTGAGTATATACCGTGTGCATTCCTCTGCTGCTGGGCTAGCTCACTCAGGATGATCTTTTCCAGATCCCACCATTTACCTGCAAATTTCATGATTTCCTTGTTTTTTATTGCTGAGTAATATTCCATTGTGTAGATATACCACAATTTGTGCATCCATTCCTCCATTTATAATGAGGTCTGGTGCCCTCTTCTGGAGTGCAGGCAGAAAACTGTATAAATAATAAATAAATCTTTAAAAAGAAAGAAAACAAACCCCAACCAAACTCAAACCAAGTAACTCAAACCACGTGAGAAACTGTATTTTCAGATTTATATATGTAAAAAATGTGTATCTTGGAATCAACAAAACACTACAATATTAAATAAATTTGTGACTTGCTTAATGTCCTTCGTGAAATGGAACATCTCAAACTGCCTCTTGTGTACCCCAAACATAAACACAAGTACTCGAAAACACGCTCAGTAGCACACCATCAGTTTATTGACCTATGTAAAAAAATAATAGGTCTCAACAAGTCAGAACAGTGAAAGTATATGCAAAAGGCTATTTCCAAGTCCAGAAGGCTATACAAATCTGCAAAAAGGAATAAGTTATTGGTTTTTTTTTTTTTTACTTGTGTCTTTTTTTCTTTTTTCAAAAAAATTTTTCCCAAACTTCATTTCTAATGATACAAATGACGGAGGACTGGTTTATCAAATGAATTTTTTTTTTATGTATATGTTACATGCTTTGGAATACAAGTAGAAAAATGTTCCAGAAAAGTTGTTGAGAAATGTCTCTATTCACAATATGAGCAAGAAACTCGTATAAAAGGGAGGGGAAGGGAGCACCTTTTGTGGGATTTTGAAGCGGAATAAAGAGACAAAAAAACAAAAAACAAAAAACCAAGGCTGCTCTAAAAGCAAGCAAAACCCCATGAACAACAAATCTAGGCTAATTGGTTCCTCCGGGGGGGGGGGGGGTATGAGGTAGTTTAATCCTCATAATTCAATCTCCTGCAGCTTGGAGTAAAATTCTTTTCCGCCAATCTCATTTCGTCACTTTGTGACCCGGATTTACTTCTGGAGTTCAGATCCTAGGCTTAACTTTCTACTGTTCACCACTTTAAGGCACGCGATTCATCTAGGATGATGTGGGTTGGCTTTGTCCTCTGGGGTCCTGTCTGTTATCATCTTGAAACACTTTTTTTTTTCAGGCTCGTGGTTACACAGACTGTCCACCCTGAGCCCACCATGTCAAGGTGGAGAGCCAGGGGGTCTTGAGCAGTCAGTATTGGGAAGCACAACAGGGATGGTACCTTAAGAACGTGTTCCAAGCAGAGCTGGCCAGTTGCTTCATTCCCTCTAGTTGGCTACCATTGAGTTACAGTAACAGGGTGCTACAGCAACCAGAATGACTAGAATCCATACGAGGGTGCTTATGAAAAACATCACTTGCAATATCCTAACACATTTACACTCATTCAGAACTTCATGAAAATCTAACTCTTCTTCAAGTAAGTTTCCAATACTGTCTAAAAATTGTCCTCATCTCTTTGTAGAAACAGCATGTTTTCTATCAGCTCACGAGTTCAAACCTTGTGGTGATGAACCACGATTCAGGAGCTTCTGGGTTTCCCCTCTGGGCATTCTGAACTGTGCTCTGAAATTTCCTGTCCTTCTTTCCAATGGGACAGACTCCCTGAACATGTCCCCAGGTTCGAGGCTTGCCTTTGACAGTTCTTCCTCCCTTCGTAAGAGCTCGCTGTGGGGCAGACTTCGGGATGGGTTAGTGCCTAGAGTTTGGAAGGCCAGACCTCATCCAGGGCTTTGTGGGGCTTTGTGTGTGATTCACTTTCAAACCACGTAAGTCTTCTCTTCCCCCTTTGATGCCCTCAGTTTCTAAAGCCTTCTAGAGGACTTTTCAAGGCACGCTAGTGTGAGAACGCGCAGTGCATGGTCGGGGGTCCAACTGCATTCAGACTAATGTTCCAGGCTTGGCGTCTCCGTGCCAAAAGAGTCTCTGCTCACTCTCCAGGTTGTCTTCCAGCTGGTTTCCATCTGTACCGTCCAGTGGAGTGGTCTCTGCATACTGTCTGTTAAAGGGAACCAGGAAAATTACCACCAGAAACGATTTCACTTCCTCAGCACAAACTGTCCAACAGGTTAGAGGGAAGCACTGTTAAGAAAAAAATTCCCAGAACCTAAGACAGGAGGCAGAGTGCATATCTGCTTCACAGCACAGTGGAGCATTGTCTAGCAGGCACATAATAGATCGTTGGATTCTAAGAAGAATTCTACCTTTGTTTAACTTTCATTTACTATTGATTAGGGACCAAAAGGTATTAAGTTACATGTTAACTTAAAGGTGTTTGTCTGGAAGAAATACACTTTCCAGCAGAAAGTGTTATGGGTCACAGGTTATTGCCCTGCTGGACACTGCCTGGCTTGGTGTATAATTTAACAGCTTTATCCCAGTACTCTCTTTCATTGTTTTGAATTCTTGAAACAGCGTAGCTAGTTTCCTTATTAATAATGATAATAAAAAGATGGATCTTTGACACATGTTTACTTGTTAAAGAATCATATTTTAACTTTTTTTTTTTTTTTAAAAAAAAGTGTCTTTTTGATAACTCTTCACATTAAAAGAATAGACTACATGCTTTTCTCAGGGGCAAGAAAAATACTTAAAAGTTGGCAGGGATACTTTGGAAAATATATATCCTATCTTGAGGGTTTATGGGCCAAATATAAATTGTCAATAGCCCAGGAAATGACAGGATAGAGGCATTTTTGTCTGAACACTGCCAGAAAAAAGAAAAGAAACAGTCATATTTGGATGGCATATTCAAACAAGCACAGCTTATTATACAAACAGTTCAGTTAAGATCTTTAACAGCAGGTTAAAAGGAGGTTAGATAGTTAGTACACTTCTATCTAATTCAATTCCAAAGTCTTTTAGTAAAGCTGAGTAAGGAGTCTTTTAAAGGAGAGCTTGGGGAGTAAATACTCTATAAATTCAGGAGGTTTAGTGTTTTCAGGAAACGTCAAAGTAAACTCAGATTTCACACCCTCACACGGCAGCCATGGGGGGAGGGGGCAGCAACAGTCCTGCTGTAGAGAAGCAACAGGCAGAGCGCGCTGTACTTACTGCTGGCTACACTGAGCAAGACAGAGCTTAACACTGATCTCACTTCTGGAGTCACAGCCACCCTCTGCGACAGAGGGCCTCGATTGTGCCTAGTGGTGGGGAAAGTTAGAAGGGAACAGGAGAGGGAGAGGAAGACAGGAGGTAGGAGAAGACAAGTTCATCTGAAAACTGGAGCACAGAGCACAGACCTGCCTCTCGTGAGACACTCCTAGCACAAGAGACTTGTGTCTGTCTGCTTCCGGGAGCTCGCTCACCAAGACTACGTCTACCAACCCATACTGAGGAAAAAGTTGCCAATAAAAATTCCTAGCTTTCTGTAAATAGCACTGAGCTTATATATTTATTCACTCATATGTTGCTGAGCGTTTTAAGTCTTTAGTGTGGACCAACTAGATTTTTTTCTTGTACATCATGAAATTCATTTTGTCTCTTAGAGCAGTCACCAGTGTAACTAATACATTATTAATTGAACAAAATCGGGTTCACCGTGACATGTCCACAGGTGTAGGTGTACTGTCCCTGATGTTAAAAATCTTGCGTTTTGTTGGTTGATTTTCTTTCTTTCTTTCTTTTTTTTTTTTTTTTAGACAGGGTCTCACTTGACCCCAGACTGAGTTGAAACCCATGTAACTGAGGTTGTTCCAAGTTTATCTTAGCCGCTCAAGGGCATGACCCACCACGGCAGCTTTAGGAACATGTTTCCATAAGAACGTATCATGGAATTCCTAAGGCGAATTTCTGAAGCTCTATGAATGATTATTGTTGCATTTGGCTTGTTAGTAAATTGAATTAAATTAAAATGATCAAATTGTATCATCGTTGGTTTTTTTTCCCCCCTTAAATCCCACTCAAGACAGACTGAAATATGAGCTTCTATCATCTCTGTGGCACACACACTGCCCATTCATCTGAAAAGCAGGAACATAAAAAAAAAAAAAAAAAAAAAAAAAAAACCACATTCTTCACTGGGCAGTTGTGTAAGCCTTTAATCCCAGCACTGGGGAGGCAGAGGCAGGTGGATCTCAGAGTTCGAGGCCACCTTGGTCTACAGAGTGAGTACCAGGACAGCCAGGGATACACAGAGAAACCCTGTTTTGAAAAACCAAAAGCCAAAATAAAACAAAACAAAACCAAAAAACACCAAACCCCAAAACTAAGCTAACTAACCCCCCCCCACACACACACAAAAAAAAACCAAAACCTACAACAACCCATACTTCTCAGTTTTAAGTTCTAACTCTCCTTTGGGGATGAATCCTGAGGAAGTGGTCTGAAATGCAGACAGACACATTGCACAGGATATATTATTATCACTATTAAAAAGGGACATAATTAATTGTTCAACAACTAGGGTGCTTTTAGCTAAAGCACTATAAATTTAGTAATTAGTTATATATGTAAGGTTTAAAAAATTTAACCATAGCCACATAAAAGGAAGTGCACACCTTTAATCCCAGCACTTGAGAGGTAGAGGCAGGAAGATCTCTGAGTTTGAGCCTAGCCTGGTCTACATGGTGAGTTCCAGGACAGCCTGGGCTACACAGAAAAACCCTTTCTTGAAAAACCAAACCAACCAAACAAAAAATTTAACTACCTAGGAATGTATTTTGTGATATTAAATTTTTAGAATGAGATGAATAGTTTCATACATAATATCAAAAGAAAAACTGTTTACTGTGTCATTATTCATATTAGAGTGGACAGGGGAAAACGAAGAAATGTGTCAAATATTCATATCACTGTCTCTGGTTGGTGAGGTTACGGCTCCATTGTTATCTTTTCTAGTTCTTTATTATTTTCCGTATTTTTCCCACAATGAGTGCCTGTGAGAACACACCCAACACACTACAATGGAGCTTTAAATAGCTTCCGATTTCCTGCATTTTTATGCTCCCTCTGACGTCAGCCTTCTCCATTCAACCATCTTGGTCTGACTGAAATACACAGGCAGATTTGGTGAAAATGGATTGTCTTCTTAGGATAGTTAGCAAGTTCTTAGATTCAATGAAAGTGGCATAAAAGATATTGAAATCGGCAGAAAGGAGAGAAACTCTTCCAAAGTGATGAGAGCTGTGTTGAAGGGGTTCAACTTAAATTTGGGGCTGCCCATTTTGTATCTTGTGGCGAACTCATTTTTAAGCATTATTCACTCATATCCCGGCCCGCTGATGCTCTGTGAGGTACAGTTTTGCCAAAAGCCTATTTTGAGCACACCCTTTGTTGAGCTGAGACAATTGGCTTAATATTTTAAGCCAAGAAAAATGCAAGTGGAATGTGGGGAAGGAAAACAAGGACTGGCAGACTGAATACTTCCAATTAGCTTAGAACACCAACTGCCTCTGCAGGGAGCTGCTAGCCTGTCTGGTTCACCAGCACAGACACTTTAAAAATGGTTGTCTCTGTAGTTTCCTTCACTGGAAGCAGCAATGGGACTTAAAACATCAAGATAACAAAACAAAACAGAACCAAAAACCAAAAAGAACCCAGAAAATGCCTGTCTTCATAGCACTATGAATAAAGCTAATACCTCCTCTGCAGAAGAATTGAAAACCATGCCATTCTAAGTCTGTGATTGTTTTTTTTTTTATTATTATTATCATCTATTTTGTGCATTTTAGTGGACCCGAGATGATACGATGACCATTTCATTCTATCCACCTGCCTGTATCTTCTGTGTCAGGGGAGTTAGTCAGACATCCAGCCGAAAAGAACTGTGATTCCTTAGAGTTGAGCTGTAACTTGCCGTGCTTGTGTGTTCCCTTGACTGTTTACAAGGAACTACTTTCAAAGACAAATAGGACAGCTGGCTGTGTCCACAAAAGACAGCAAGTGGTGAGATCTGGCTGGCCAACTGTTGGCTGGACTTTGGTACAAAGAGCTTTGCTGGGGAAGAGATTTTTTTTTTCTTTCTCTACTTTTTCTCTTTTTCAGAAAAGACCTAACTGGACATTATCCACAATACACTTTTAAGTACACCCTTAAAACAGAAGAAAAAGAGAAGCCCAGCTTTGGACTGGGGCCTCAACGGATGCAGTGTAAGGACAGGGCTGAATTTGGTTTAGCTCTACAGAGCTCAGAAAACTTTAAAAGTCCTGCTGTACTTTTGCTTTTGCTGGCCTTATGCTGTTTGTCTTCAGAGTATGACACAGACACAGCTAAGATGCAGAATAATGAGCATGGCCATTTTCCAGTGAAACATTTACTGAACAAGGCGGCAGTTAAGGTTTGGCCTGTGGGCTCTTGTTTACCACCACTTCAGACTGCAATGCAGGAGCTGTGCATTCTTCAAAGAGGACCATGCTCCTAGAATCTGGTCAGTACTATCTCACCTGCTTGGAGAAGGCAAGGGATTGTAGATGCTGCCATAGTAGCTGGTGTAGGGAGAGTGTACTGGATTTTCGTATTCAGACAGCCCCACGGATAACTGGGTCCTCCAGTTCCCAGAAGCATTTGTGGAAGACACTAGAAATAAGAATGAGGAGAGAGAGAAAACATTAGCTGCACTAGTCCAAGTGAGATATGTTCAGGTTGTTCTCTCTGCTCTACAGTGTGTAGAGCAGAGAGATGAGAGGCCCTCGTTTAGGTTTGTATTTGCCAGTGCTGGAGATGGATCCAAGCCTTGCCCCTCTTTTATTCCTGAGATAGACCCCCTCTTTGAGCCAGAATTTTCAGTCAGTTCAATTTGTTGGCTTAATAGCTAGCTGAGTGACTTGGGCAAAGAGCTTATCCTTTTTAAGCTCCATCTTCCTTATATGTGGAGAGGATAATGACATAGATATATTCCGTGTGGCTACAACACCAGGACTAAAAGTAATTATGGACATCTTTAGCCCAGTGCAGAATAAAGACTCACAGCATGCTTAAGTATTATTGGTAACAGGAGTTAGTCCAAAGGAAAGAAAAAAACATATTCAATTATACATATTTTCAAGTAGCCCAGAAGGGAAAGGGAGAGGATTCCCATGAAGGGAGAGGATCTTGACCCCTGGCCTTCAGATATCTGAGCAGATGGTACTTGAGAATAAGGAGGTCTGTGGAGGCCACACATCCAGCCAGGTGACCTGCTGAGACTTGACTGCTAAAGGCAATACAGGCCACTTGGCAAGACAAGGACATTTTCTGTCGCTGAATGAAAGGTGATGGGGGTGGGTGGAGAAGCTAGCAGAAGGAGGAAGGGACTAGTTTTGCAGAAGAGTGGAACCAGGAGAGGACAAGGGCATAATTTGGAAGCAGAGCCCAGCTGAAGGCATGTCACTGGGTTTCTGCTCTCTTCTTTGTAAAACCAGTCCTGTTCCACGCCCAAGTTGAAGAGTATCCAAGTCTCTCACAGACAGTCCTGGTCATGGTTCTTCCTGCTCCCCATGTTCTGTTCCTGGCCACTGACCTCTTTCCATACCCACATGCAATCACCACAAACAGACACACATGAAAATGCATCTGTGGCCATAATGCCACTCGATTTTCACTAACAGATATAGGATCACAGTATCTTTCTAAGAATGAGTACCAAGTGAAGATTCTGAAGCTTGGCGGGGTGGGGTTGGGGGGTCAGACTGTTGGAGCTGGGACAGAAGCCCTACTTTGTCACCCGCCAGGCTAAGAGATTGGTGGAGTAATCCAAACTCTCTAAACCAGAGTCACCTTAACTGTGAAATAAGAATAACAACAAACCTAACTACAGGGCTGACACGATAGCACTGCCGCTCGTATTCAAAGGGCACCCTGGCACAGAGAGCTGCCAAGAAAAGGTGGCTACCATCGCTGCTGAAACTGAGTCACCACAAAGCCTTCAGGTGGTGCAAAATCTGACTAACCAGAAACAGGAAATACAGCTCTCCACGGGAATGATTCGAGACTGCAGAGATACAGCTCTAAAGCTATAACACTCGGGACAGGAACATTCCAGAAGGGATTTTCGGGAGCCTTGTTCTCATCCACGTAATTCTTTATGAAGGATGCTCTTAGCCAGGTGTGGTAGGGCAGGCATGGGAGAGGCCTTGTGAGTTTGAGGCTAGCTCAGGACACACCATAAGATCCTATCTTTAAACGCCAGTGTGTGTGTGTGTGGGGGGGGGGTTGGGGTGAGGAGGAATGCTTTTGGTGGTACAGTCAGCAGAACTGATACCAGGTCTGAATCAGGGAGTATTAACTCTGTTTTCACCCTTGCCCTAGATACAAAGTCAACAGCCAAGGCAGTGGGGGGTTTTAAATCACAGCTGTTTTCCCCTGGGCATTCCCCAAGCCCTGTGCAACCAAAAGCCACCCACAAGAATTTCCAGACCCCCGTTTGCTTTTATCCTTAGAGAGCTCTGTCCAGGTGTTATCTGTGAAAGCTTCTCATGCTTCACCCTGAACTTTCAGAGCAACAGAGGTGTCCTCTAGATGAGCGTCATAAACCCTAAGAAATACTGATAGGAGCCACTTTATGTGTTAGATGTGGTCAGAGGTGGGACAATGCTAGCAGAAGTCCAAAGTCCTAGAAATAGGGGCGAAATGGAACCCAAGCAGAAGTCGCCATGGCAATGTCTCCTGTCAGCAAACTTATGAATCATTAAGGTGCAGTTCACCCTGACTGTTCTACAGACTTGGAAATTCCCACACATGTATAAGGGAGGCAGCAAAACTCAGGACCCAGGTTTTTGTGTAGTTTAAGAGTTCATTCATTTCTTCAAATCTGAAGCTTACTTAATTTTCATACATTCCTTCAGCTGCTGACTAGACCCTGAGCTCATGGAAGCCAGACATTGCTTCAGGACTGAGCTTTCACAGTGGTGAGCAGACCTGCCCTCGGCTCCTACTTTCTACTTAAATTACTTAGAATAGGTTAGAGTGTGTATCACGTGCTCTGCAAATGCGAGCAGAGAGAGTTAGAAAGAGAATGCTTTTGATGATCAAAATTATCTACAGAAATTCCTGGGGTTTTTGGTAATGATGGTGGGCATGGAATCAGGTTTGCAAGAACTCCAGGCAAATACCACTGAGCTATGATCCCAATCTCCCAAATTCCTTACATTAACAATTCAGTAGAATATAGTACATACTGAGATAAGATAATCGAAGTAGGTAGAAAGATACTTAGCAAATATCAGCTTCTATCAGAATTCCTGCAAGCCTTCTCCAGGCAGGTACATGAATATTCAACCTTTAGATTTATCACATCTTGGCCAATGCCTTCTGCTAACCTTATGTGTTTCTTTATTCCTTTCAAATTGTCAAACTCCAATGATGAGAATGCATTTAAAAGATGTGGTTGTCAGCCTAAGAGCCAGACAACACAAAGCTTGTGAAAACACCACCACAGGACCACACATAGACTAGGTGCTCACCAAGTGTGTGCTAGGCTTGAATCTACAAATGGCATCATCAGAATCTTACTCTCTGTGAAAGCTCCAGAGCACTGTTCACAGTGGCTGTTGACCGAATGGCCACCACTCTTAATGACCTCTGGGACCAATCTCATGAGCCTACACAGGAGTGGTTTGGGGTGGGTCAGGAGTGTGATACATTGGTGGCCCCAAGGGTAATGTGCCTCCCCAGGCATCTTACCTGAAGAGTAGGAAGACGCCCGACTGCTTGGAGAACAGGGCACCTGCAGCCCAGCATAGCCCAGGCACCTCTGTGAGCCTCTGTCCGAGTCAAAGCTAGTCTGTGGGCTGTGCCCCTGATCCTTTTGCCCAGAAGCCCTCTGGTACCAGCCACGCAGGTGCTCAGCAACTAAGGCCTTGTGGATGTTTTTGGTGATGTGCTCAGATTTCACGGCAGCCTTCCTTGGCAGCCGGAGGGTTGCATAAGGGTTATGGGGTACGCGGTCTACCTCGTCTTCGTGGAAAGACCTGCTGTAGTCCCTCTGGCGGTCATATCCATAGTGAGCTGAGGATCGGTAAGAAGGATTGACACTGTACTGTCCCTCAGTGTCATTCTCATAGACATAGCCACCACCGTAATAGAGGTCACATTCGGCATATGGTGGGTATCCAGTGATACAGTAACCAGAAGGAGGCGGATCCTGACCCTTTGAGTAGACACCATTCCTCAAAGTATCCTTTTGTGCTAGGTTGGGCATGCTTCCTGAATTGGAAGTGGAAACACTGTGTTTCTTGGACCTTCTTCTCCCCCTGGCTCGGGTGTCCAGAGTCTGGGTGGTGTAGTAAGGGCCAGCGGCAGGGGTCACACAGTAATACTCGGAGCTTGACTGGCTGGTGTACGAAGACCCGTCGTCCAGGATCTCGGTGCTGCTGCTTCTTTGGGATTTGGAAAGGGTGAAGAATGGCTTGTCGCTGTCCATCTCAGAGAGCAGGTGGTGGGACTGGGACTCCAGGCTTCCGCTCCGCTGGCGGCAGTGCTGAGATGAAGGGTCGGGCCTGAGAGAGGAGAAGGGGAGATGAGTACAAGAGAAGGACCCAAGGAAGGAAAAAAAGAACTCTAGGCCGAGGGCAGAGGGGATGACTTGCTCCATAGTAGGGTGTTTGCTGTGAGCACGGGAGCTTGGGTTCAATACAGCAGAACCCATCTTAAAAAGCCAGGCATGGTGCCTGTAATCCCAACACCAGGGCAGGCAGATCCCTGAAGCTTGCTGGCTAGCCAGGCTTGCCAAATCTGTTCAATGGGAGACCTTATCTCAAAAAATAAGGTGGAGAGTTGATTGAGGAAGGTTCCCCATGCTGACTTCTGGTCTCCATATACTCATAAAGTCATGTACACACACACACACACTTGAACATATAGGAACACATGCAATGCAGAGAAAAGAGGACGTTGAGTGGATTCATAGCTTTTAAATTCAATAGGACTTTGCAGGTTTCTAAGCTGGACTACACAACAGAGTCCACCTGTTACTTCATGCACTGGGTCACACATAAGTTCATTATCACAGTTCAAATAAGGGAAAAATCAGTTCTGTTAATTGTGCGTGTCATATGCTTCCTTGAGACTAGGGAGGATATTCATGATATCCTGCATTAAAGCTAAAAGACGCCCTATGCCTCACATAGTGTTAGGTTATATAAGAGAAGAGGACAGGCAAAGTTGAGTAGGGCCTGGGCCTAAGTCAGAGACGCTGGCGCTGAGCCATGGCATGGCTGTCTATTCATCTGCTGTAAGAGTTAGGGCAAGATATTTTACCTCTCTCAGTTTTGCTTCTGTGTTTGCAAAATGAGATAAAAATGGTACCTAATACACACTTTGTAACAGGCTTTCTGTGGGTACTAAAGTAGTACAAGTAAAGAATTTACAGGGCTGAGGATATAGCTCATTTCATAGTGCTTGCCTAGCATGTGTGAAGCCCTGGGTTTGGATATTAACCAGGTGTAGTGGTGGACTTCCATAATCCAGCACTGAGATGGTGGAGGCAGGAGCATGAGTAGTGAGTTCAAGGTCAACCTGGACTATATGAAGTGAAACAAGATAAAACATTTAGCACAGAACTCTGCAAAAACACCACCGAAATTATTCTCATCCTTGCCAACGAATATCTAAGCTAGGGAAATTAAAATACTAAAAATCCAATATATATCTGGGGGAATTAATCTTTGCCGACAAATTAGAAGTTTGTAAGTTAGCAGGAAATGGGCTAGAACGAGTCAGGGCTATCACTATAGAAAGTCACTTTAAATGATTTGGAAGTGCAACAAAAGCAAGCAAGGCAAACACTCAAGCCAAAACCAGTGGGGCCAAAGCTGTGGAAATGAAGCTCTTACTCCAGGTGGCTGCTGCTATAGGCATTCCGAGTCAGGACTGGTGTGGTGGGCATGCTCCGCCCTCCTTGGGGCCGCCTCTCCAGTGTTTTGTAAGGGCTGCTGTGGGTGGACAGCATTTCTCTGCGAGTAAAAAGAACCGAAGAAATGATGAGTCTCCCGATACTTCCTATACATTGCTATGAGACTTACTGGAAAGAGATAGAAGGAGAACACAGGAGAAGGAAGAAGGAGTGTCTCTAAAAGTGAGCATCCTGAGAGGTCCCGCATGAAGCTCAGAGGAAGCACCTGTGGTCTGACTCTCTGGGGCCAGGCCCACAGCCGATAAGAGGATGCTCAATAGGACAGACCAGGGGCAACCAGAGTGAGGCTCTGCAAACACTTCGTCTATGGAGTCTGGTAGTGAATGTTTGGGGCTTCAACACGTACACAGTATGGAAGAGGGTGGGTGTGGCCCCATTCCAACAAATGGCCATATTCCAACAAATTAATGCAGTTCTCCGACATCACCAAATATTATTGCTTTTGACCCATTCCCTCCAATTTCTTAAAAGTTTTGGTTTTTTTTTTTTTTGAGTTCACGGTGGCAGTCTATCGAGCCCACAGGGGGTTATCGGCTGTTATATGATTAGCATACACATCCTGGCACCAGCTCTCCAGTGCCCAGAAGGAAACTCCCTGAACAACTGTCTACTTCCCGTGAATGTAAGCACAGTGCATTATAGCTCAGAAGTACAAAAATAAACATGTAGGTATCCATAATATGAGACCACACACACAATAGGAAAAGTTTTTCATATGTTTTTCCTAAGTGATATACTTACAAATATTTACATTTTTAACAAGAGATCTTCCCTTTGTATGTTTAGGATTTACTTAAAAATTAAAATTGCATGTAACATCTTCATATTGTATAATATCTGTTTATACTGCCTTCTTATTTTATTAGTAATTAATTCATTTATATTTTAGTTTGGTATTGAGGACATAATCTCTTTTGGTGGCCTTGGCTGGCCTTCAGGCTAGTCTCAAACTTGTTGGAATCCTTCTCTAGCCTCCTGATGCTATGCTGTACACATCACTGCTCAAAGCTCTCACCTAGACTGCCTGGTGTCCAGGAACTGTTCGTTGATGGAGGATTTTCTGAAGTGGATCCGTTCAATACCGAGAGACTTGGGGGGTAGAATTCTTGGAGAATGAGGTACTGAACTTGGTCGCTGCCCAGCAAGAGTGAAGGAGTCATTGGCTAAAATGAATCAAGCAGGAAATGAATAAGGATGAGGAAATGAGTAAATGAATAGCTTGTCAGTTTTTCACACACACAAAAAAATTTTTTTTTAGATCAGATGAAGAAAGGTTCTTCTCAAGACAATATTGGCAGAATTATGTAGTAGAAACACACACATTCTGTAAAATTAAGTTTTATAATTGGCAGTTAGGAAAAAAATACTGAGGTCTGAACCAATTTTTCTCAATTCACAGTGACTACTCTGAGCAGGAAAATCATGCAGGTGATGGTGATAGTGATGGTGATAGTGTCACCTTCAAAAACTTTTATTAAAGAAAATCTTCAAGTTGCCAGGTATGGTGGTATCCACCTTTAAGCCCAGTACTTGGGAGGCAGATGGGATTCTGGGAGTTTGAGGCTAGCCTGGTCTACATAGTGAGTTCCAGACTAGCCAAAATTACACTGTGAGGTCATGTCTAAAAAGAAAGGAAGGAAAAAAGGAGGGGGAGGCAGGAAAGCCCAGTTTGCAAGAGGCCAAGCTAATATGCCAGATGTTTTTGTTCCTCTTTGAAGACCTTAGGCCTCTGAGGCCATCGGCTCATCCCACGGGGGATGGGCTGTGTTGCTGCAGAGGTGGTATGCTCAGCATCAACTTGTGCCTTTTCAAAAAATAGGCGGCAAGTGTGTTGGACTGCAGCTCAAAGAAGGATCCTGAAGTCCTGAGATTTGATTTTATTTTCCATCAAACTCAGAGAAAGAGGAGTGGGGTTGGGAGGGGGGGGGGGGGGGGGGGGGGGCAGGTTCAGGGCAGTGGCTTCCCAGAATTCTTCAAATCCTATCAGACAGATAGCCAATCAACTGATTAGGTATAAAGAAGTACAAGGAAGGACTCAGCCCCGTGATAGGAAACACATTTTGTCCCAGAACACACTGAACTAATATTGGCCACTGGGACACATATTGCTTCCTTAAGGAAGTGGCAAAAATGACATGAAATCTAACTCATAAAATGTGCCTTTCTTCCTAGGGAAAATAAAATCAGTTCCCACCTCTCTAAGAAAATCAGTGGTATGCAAAGCGGACACTCTAGTTTCCTGGTTTGGTGCTGGGTTCCAGATATGTAAAACATCACCACTGGAAATCCGCTCAGTGGAGAACTGTGTAGTTTACACAGTTCCTAGTCTTTTATTTAAACTACAAAGTTTAAAAAAAGAAAAAGGACTTTAACACCCTTACAGACAGACTTACTCATGCGATGGATTTCTGATTGGGTGGACCTATGTTTAACACTCTAGCCTGCATAGATGACACTAATAGATCCTCAACGACTTGTATAAATAAAGGTAGTTTTGTCTATTCTCCCCAAAGAGAAACAAGCCGGCTTTCCTTTGTTTTTGTTGCTGCTCTTTGTTAGACAGGGTGTTAGGGCTAGAACTCATTTTGTAGCAAAGGGAGGCCTTGAACTCGTGCAGCATCTTACCTCCGCCTTCCAAGTACTGGGACCTGGGTTATTTGGTGTTGGGGATCAAACCTTGGACATCATTCACGCTAAGCCTTCTACCACCTACACTGCATCCTATGCCCGAGGAGCAGGAGAAAAGGATCAATTATTATTAAGAGTGCTCACTGCTTTTTTTTGGAAGACTTGAATTCAGTTCCTAGCACCGATGCCAGAAAGGCTCACAAAATGGCCTGTATGTAACTCCAGCTCTGGGGTATCCAGCCTTTTTGGGTACCCACTCACATATGGTCTACACACACACACACACACACACACACACACACACACACACACATGAATAAAAATAAAAATAAATCTGAAAAATGATCTTCATACTTCAGAGATCTAATATTTTTAAAATTGAAAACAGCAGAAAAAGAGGAGCCACTTACGATCGTCATAGGTGGTGGTGTCCGACAAAGAGCTACTTTCAGATGGAATTATGTCTTCTGTGAATAAAAATAGCCTGCCTTTAGTATAATTGCGCATTTAAACAATTAGAGTGAGTTCAGCAAAGCAATTTTCAGTGGAGTGCATTTAATTTTTCATTTAGATAAATGTAAGCAATTACAGTGCATTAAGAATAATTAGCTGTTGTCAGAATAATTTACGTTCTACTGGAGATAAAAACAAAAAGAACAAGAACCTGACCTATTGTATAGATGTTATGATTGATTTGTCATTTCTTGGTAACCAGAGGGGAGACTGATTACCCATGGTCTCCCCAAGAATAACAAATCTGGGGGTGCCCCATAGTTCTCTTGCATACTGTGAATACTGCCTCTATTATTTGTAATTCCTAATATGCTGTGAATGCTGCATAAATAGTTGTTATATTGTTTATCAAATAATGTGTTTAATACAAAGATGATTTTCCTCAAATATTTTGCTCTGATGCTGGCTGTATCTATAGAGGCAGAATCTGAGTGTAGAAGGATTGACTATATCTTCTTCTTCTTGTTCTTGTTGTTGTTGTTCTCTTCTTCCTCCTCCTCCTCCTCCTCCTCCTCCTCCTCCTCCTCCTCCCCCCTTACTTTCTCAATCTCATCTCCTCTCTTTCTGGAGACATGGACTTACATGGAAGCCCAGGCTATTCCTGAACTCTCTACATAACTAATGACAACCTTCTATGTCTCAAGTGCTAGGATTACAGGCATACATCATCCTCTCTGGTTTTATAGGTGCTAGGGACTTAACCCAGGGCTTCATGTAATGCTGGGCAATACCAACTCTGCTACATCTTCAGCTCCTGGCTGTATCACTTAGGATAGGATGACTAGCCACAGAGTCTGGGTTGTAAACTAGTTTGCAATGTTTCCTATACCTTGAAAGGAAACCACATTCCATATATGTCCTAAAAAGCCCCTTTTTGCACTCTAAAAACCCGAAAGCAGCACTCTTACCCTCGATTCTGACAAGCCCCAAATGCCCACAAATATCATCAAATAATTCTACAGTGCAAAATTGCAGCTCCTTAAGAAGCTCTGAATTGGAAGACTTGGGTTTAAATCTTGTTTTTGTCACTTATCATCTGCCGGAGCTTGGGCCACTTGACTCATCTTAGTGAGGGTCTTTTGGCTCAGCTCTGCAGTAGGGATGACAACGGTGCCCGTTGCATAGAGCTGAGCTGAGCTATTTGATTAACTAACGACGTGCAGACCTTAGCCACCTCCAGGCACGCAACACATGCTAGATAAATACCAACTAAAGACATGTGTTAGTCTTATCACCCATACTTGGCTGTCTGAATGGAAATGGCAGCCATAATGCTTTGAGTATCTCTGGTGCCCGTTTGGTAAAAAGAGCCGTCTCGGACGTGTTGATATGATTTTTGCAAATCACTCTGTATTCAGCGCCGGCTGTTTTGGTAGCAGGTTCTAGCCACTTCGATGTAAGTTTTAAAGTCATTATGGAGGAACTGTCTTCATTCAAACTCAAATGCTAATCTTTATCAGAGCCAGGCGGACCCTCTTAATTAGACACAGAGTGGAACTTGAAGGCGGGGTGCCAGGAGAGTCAGCTGCTGTGTACACTTACAAAAACATCTCACCAATATATGCCCAGCCAATGGCACCATATGCTGCCCAAATGTCAGCCACCAAAGAGGAGGAGAACACTTGGGTCTAGCACAACTTGAGGGTGAATTGGCTGTGACAAATGGCCATGAACATTAAGCACACTGTTCATCCCCCATGTCTGGAGGCAAGGACGCAACTGCCATCAAACCAACTGGACCACACATTTAAATTCTCCAGCTGTAGAGGACGAACATTTGTGTGTTAGCTGTATATTCCCAAAAGTCACGTCTCAGCTTTATGAGTCGCAGACTCTAAGCTTGCTCTGTTCTAAACCCAGTTACCGCGCAGCTTATCAAATAGAAAATATATGATTACTTCACATTCTAGTGAAAATGTAAGGTACCGATAATGATTGTTACATGTCATCCTTTGGAGGAATGACCTCAGTTTCTCAGGTGTTAACACATAAAGCGGGGGGAAGGGGCTTGGGTTTAAGGAAACACCATCACATTTCAATCATGATTTAGTCTAAAGACCGCATTAGTATTTACATATGGTCAATTAGACTTTAAATTGGTGTAATAAAGACTTCCCCATTTGTTTTGTTTTGTTTTTTTCTGACTCTGAACTTCACAGATTCATGATGTTGAGGATCTTGGAAACAAAAGAGAAGCAGTGTGCTTGCCGGTCCATGGCTGTTAGCATTTTCAAATCGTTCCTTATCAGTCATCGTCTGTGCAGCTTTAAACAAAGTCAGGATTACCTTGTGGTCATAATCTCATCTCTCATCTTTCCCCATTCCACGTTATCATTTACCATTTGCCTACTCTTAAATACTCTGTTGAAATGGGCTAACCGTAAGACCTCTTCTCTAACCACACACATGCAAGGATGGGCCTCTAAGAAAATGCTGGGTCTGCCGCAGCATCCAAACATCTTGCAGAAATGACTGTATCTAACGCTCAGCACTCTTCACAGCCATCATCACGGAAAGTATCTGGGGAAGTGACGTCAGTCGAGTTACAGGAGAGCCTGTTTTATCAAGAGCCAGCATCCTAGTGAACCTTCATCCTGAAAGTTCATGCCCTGTCACGCAGAACCACAACGGTGAGCCTGACACCGAACATCGAGTTCACACGCCTTTGACACTGAAAATTCAACTGCTCTTACCCTGGGACAGTTGCTTCGGAGGATGTCCTTCTGACTGTCACCAAGTGAACAAGTGGAGGAGCCCCGCATCCCAGGAGGAGACCCGAGAACAGGGCCTGCCGACAGCTCCCACTTACTAACCTGGTAGGGTAACTGAGGCTTTCTGGCTGGGCTTCTTCCCACACCGGATCCGGTACTCATTTATGGAATTTTCAATCTCCTGAAGTCTTTTCACAGCATCTGTGTAATCTTGCTTTCGCTTTTTCTTCACGGTTTTACAAAGGTCCGGCTCACTGGCAAGTTTCTTTGCAGCTTCAACCAGCTTTTGCTGTATCAGGAAATTGCTCTCTAGTTCTTGTAAGGCCGGATCCTGCATTTAGACAATGACATTGCTTTATTTTAAAAAATATGCACAATCACTCTCTTGCATTTCTTCTGGATGATAATGAAGGATTCTTGTATATTCCTGGATAACACACCCTTTGGGATTGAAACCGTCCACATTTTAATAATGTAGGCACCCTGAGATACTCTCCACGAAGACAAGACCTCTCTCACCCATCTTCACTTCACCATCTCATAGCCCAACCTCTTTTCCTCTCTAAGGAGGAAAATGACTTTGCATTCATCCACTTGGCTGCCTTGAGACCAGTTTTCAGAGAGTCTTAACCTGTGACTCACATGCGCAGAATGTTACTTTCCTATAGAGAGCAATAGAGCCACGTCATGTGGGTCTGACTGCTCTTTCTGGTTGTTCCTGGTAGCATGACTGAATATACTACTCACAAATAATCTTTTAATACTTTAGTTTGCTGAATTTGTAAGAGGAAAAAAAAAAGTACTTTACAAAAGCGTGCTGGAGATTAAACTACATACCATGTGCTGCTTAGGTCAGAGCTGCGTGCACAGGCATGCACTCAGCAAATATCAAAACTCGATTATTAAGAATGGAAGCTGAGATAGTCACATCCCTGTAAGAATCATGGGGTGGGTCCTAATGGTATAATTGCATGTGATATGCAATCATGCAAGCACACATTCTGTTAGCTATCAAATCCTTCAACTTAATTATCCCGAATGCTGTATGTTATCTCACTTAATCCTTCAGAAGGGAGTTCCACCATTGTTTTCGCTTTACAGATAAACTGAAACTTGAGGGGGATGAAACTGCTCGCTGAAGGCTACTTGGTTTTAAGTGAAAGGATCGGAAGCTAAAATTCAATCCTAATCTCTGTGCTACTATTTAGAACTTATGTACAGGGCTGATTTGATGCTCTCCGTGACTCAGGGAACAAAATAGTAAGAAACTCAATTCTGCTCAGAGTGTGCAGGGAAGAAAGAATGCAATTTGGTCTATTCTACTTCCATGGCTCAGAGAAACACCTAGAACATGCCTGGGAACCTAAGGCGCAGAAGGGGGACACTAAGATGGCTCAGCGCCATACCTCCTCAGCAGGCAGTAAGTTGTCATCCAACTTGAATGAAGTCCCCACTCGCCTCCTGACCTGAGGGGGTTTCTCACCAGCGTTCAGTGGGTACTCCTTTGGCATTCTGCCCGTGAGCTCCTATGAAACAGGACAGGGTCAAGGGTACATAGCAGCCACCGACCACAGCCACCCAACCCAAGTGCCCAGCAAGGCCAAGGCCACTCACGGCCTCACGTAGACAGATCTTCTTCAGCTCCTCAACTTTTTTCAGGAGTTTTTCCTGCAACAGTTTCTCCTTCTTCTTGAGCTCCAGGATCTTCTCCCGCTTTTGCTCCTCCATGCCTTCTGAGTCCTGGGAACCTGGAGTGGGGGCAGGGCAGGGAGGTTCACACAAGGGACTGTTTCCTTCCTTGCTTGAGTGAGGGACAAAGGGCTGGAGAGGAAAGCTGCTCCCAAATGCTGGTTTTATTTCTTTTCTCCTTGTTTCTGAACATAATGAAAGGAAACCAGGGAACATTTCACATGCTTCTGGGCATCAGAGAGAGCCTGGTAAGAAAATGTCTCTGCATTTTGTGGCTCAGCCATTTTGGAAGACACAATTAAATGCTTTGTAGTTCAGGTACACACAAGGAGAAATTGCATTTTTTGTTTGTTTGTTTTTTAAGAGTGAAAAGAAGATGGTCTCTAAGATGGTCCCACTCAGTACTTCTTTAGAAAGCAAAAAAGCAAGGCAATGGAACATTGTATACAAAGGAACTACTCCCCCGCACTCCTATATCCCCACCCCCACTTCTTCAGACCCACAAGCTGAGAGGGTTTTAGTTAAGACAAGTCAATTTAATGATGTTACTCAGGCATAGTGATAAGAGACTCCAGAATTCCCACAAAGGAAAGGACTGGGCCCAGTGATTACAGCTCATGAACTAGGCACTTGCAACTGCACTTATAAAGAATTTTACAGTCTGTGGAGAACCAGTGACATCAAAACGTAGCAGGAAGTAAACATCTTTCAAGACAACCTTCAGCACTTAGTATCTTTCCATGGCTGTATAAATAACGGTACAAATGGCGGGGCATTGGGAGGCAGGGGCAGAGGCAGGCAGATATCTCTGAGTTTGAGGCCAGCCAGGTCTATGAGCCCATATCTCCAAATAAATAAATAAATTTAAAATGTTATTGGAAGCTGTTGTGTACCGTTGCTTTTTCCCCCCTCTCAAAAAGATGCATTTGGAAATTATTTATACCAAGCATGCAAAAAAGAAAAAGGGAAAAGAAAAGAGAGAGAAAAGGTGTCTTATACTTTCTTGAACCAGCAAATACCTGAGGATATCAGACTGCCATTGCTCGCCATGATGAACTGGCTTTTTGCCTCCAGAGTCACCAGCTTGGAGACCCTCTGCGTCCCAGTCTCCGTTAAATCCATTGCAATGTCGTCTAAACTTCTGGCTGAAGGAATTTTTGCCTGTGAAGTGAATAACATTGAAACAGAGTTAGCACAACCACATTTTTAAATCAATACAATGATTAAGTTACTACTCGAACAAGATCTCAACACAGGGCAATTGAAGTCTTTAAAGTGGCACTTTAGAAACAAAGAAATTTAGTTTTGTTTCAGTAAGTATTAAGGATTCAGTCACTAACTTTCAGATGAAACCAGCAATGTCACCACCATAAGAGCATATGTATGCCAAATCTCACAATATGGGAAATATATATATAAAATATATATATATTAATATATGAAAAACTAAAACAGTTGGTAGCAAAGCTTAAAACTTTTTTTGTTTGTTTGTTTATATGTTTTCTGAGAAAATTCATTTTAGAACACAGAGGAAAAGGACTGGACTTTGTCCGTCAAGGAACACCGCAGTTACTCACTTTGCTCTGCTTCCGGTCCAGGTAGAACTGATGCTGGCTAATGGCCATTACCCAGATGGACTTGATGAGAGAAGAGTTTGCATACCAGGTTTGTACAAACAGGCCACTCTGTCCAAAGGTTCTTCTAGACACCGAAATCCTAAAACACAAAAGAAAACCACGAGTGTCTCACCCCCGGGCTAGCAGCACACGCGTGCACCTAGCAGGCACTGCTGTCACGGTAACAGCTTCCTTCCGTCTCTCAGCTGCACAGACTTTACCTGACAGGGGCTGAGGTTCTGGTGCTGTGTAAAACCAATCAGACCCAAGCAATCTCTGTATAAATTCCGACACGCTGAAATCCAGATAAGGAAGTTAACCAAATGAGAAGCTGTACAAAAACATCTGGTCAGAAACCACAGAGGTGGGACTACCGCAAGTGGTAAAAGATGAGAGCAATCATTTAACGACAGCCACGGGGCCTGCAGAAAGCGCACCTGCCCAAGGCGAAGAGGGAGACTGAGGTAGATGCAGCCTGCAGGAGATGAACTTGGTGATAACTGACTGAAGAGGTGCAAGGCTCGAAGCAGTCCAGACTTCTGCTTGTACACCAGGTAAAAAGAGGAAAGGCGGGCGAGGAGGAGAGTCACAGTAGTGAGAGGCAAGACAACACAGGGAGGAGGGAGCCGGATGGGAAGGGCAGAAGGGCAACAGTGCAGAAGGGCGTGGGATGTGTGTATGTGGGGGGTGCACTCATGTTCTCAGTAGGAACTGACTAATCTCCTCGGGTCATCTTTTTGTGACAGCAGTTTCCTGCTGTCCCTCTGACCTCCAAACACTATCTAGGCTCGAAAGAATAACCGCTAAAGGGTACCTCTTGAGTACTCAGAGAACCTACATCCTGACCTCCATTCACGTGAATAACTTTGACAACTGTGTTGTTTTCTTTTTTGATGACTAAGGAATGCTCAAAATAAAAATAAGCAAAGCACCAGAAATAGAGAATTCTCTTAAGAAGTTAAACAGTCAATAAACCACTGCAAAGAGGCTCTGGCCATGGTTAGTCCTGAAGGAAAATGCTGCTCAAACAACCACGGCTATTTCATAATACCACAGTGGCTTTAGAACACACACCACAGATCCTGGTACACTGGCCAGCTCCTGTAGTTGGCCTCACATCCATGAAATTGGATCATATCCAGCACAAATTGGACTCAGGAGGTATTAAAAAAAAAAAAAGTACATGAATTGAGAAGAGGGGTGAGTTGGGAAAGTGTCATGGGGAGGAATGGTGGAGAAAATGAGCAAAACACATTGTATATGTGTATTTGAAGTTCTCAAAAAATTAATAAATATATTTAAAAATACACACATACACACACACACACGCTAGAGAGAATATGCCGACACTGGAAACCAATACATCGCTGGCAGAAATGTAAAGAGCTTTGGAAATGTCTGACAGTTACCCTAAAGGTTAAATACACTTACTCTTTGACCCCAGTGACTCCACTAGGAGGTAAACCTCCAAGAGAAATAAAAGCAAATATGAAAAGCTATGGACATGCATTTGCGGCCTCACCACTCATATAAAACTCCCATCTTTACCTTCTTGGGTCGTGCACCTCCACAGCAAATTTCTTCTCACGGAAATACAGGTTTTCCAGCTGCTTCCATTGAAATAACTAAAAGAAATTAAGAAGATCGCATAGCTTTCACTACTCTTTCTTTTTACCAAGTCCCCAAGTCAGCCTCCTAACCAAATGATTGCAAGTTCCAGCAGCGGTACACAGACATCAACCACGGATAGGTGAGTTATCAGTTTTGTGCAAATCAACTATAACCCGAAACCATTTTGTTCCCTCGTGTTTAGCTAGGAAACTTCACCTCACCAGTAAATCCTGAACAGCAAAACAGAGAGTCCGCACAACATGCAGTTTTTCCCCTGACTCAAAGGTCTGACAGGAAACCTGCATCCATTACTGTAAAGCACAGAGCTTCTGCTTAAAGAGGTAGACCTCACGCTTAAATGGAAAGCTACTAGAGGAGAGGTTTCCATAAAGATCAGAGGTAATATTTCAATTGGCGTGCAAAGTGAAAGTAAAAGAGTTTCCCAGGCTGAGGTGAGTGGAAGCAAAGGCAGCTTCTCACGTAGCCCATTCTGTCTAAGTGGTGCAAGCCGAGTGCCAGGAATCCGTTGGGTGTTGGGGTGGGGACTAAGAGCTGACTCCAGATGTGGTCAGAGCTCCCAGCCTCTCTCTGCCTTTATCCTGCTGCCTTTCTGACCCGGACTCAGGAATGATCTGTCATTTACACGGAGAAACAAACTTTGTTGGAAATGTGTCTTCAAACACCAAATAATTTGATGAAACTCTACATTTGACAGGACTGAGTGTGCCTGGCTGTTAAGTTCTGGACGGATGCAGGTTTTACAAGCGCTCATCTTGGACGGGGTGGTCCTCCTCTCCAACCTCATCCATTGCTAGGGTCTGCCTCCACCTTAAAGTGATACTCAATGCGTCTCAGAACACGCTCAGGGATCTAATTAGGAAGGGCTGCTCTGCAGCACTCAGTGAGCTAACACATCTCCTGAAGAACAGAAGCTTTTCACAAACGCCGGCCCCCAGAGCGATGGAGCTGAGCTGTAGGTTTGTACGGGGACACAGCGTTCACGCTGGACCCTGGACCCCAAACAGCACCACAGACCGTCTTGCACCCAGGGCACCCTGCGGTCTGCCACTGTCCCACTCACCAGTCTCAAAGGATCAGCAAACACACGAAGCTACGTACCAATGTCCTACGGTGTCTGTGGAGCTGGGGTTGTCATTTCCTTCAATCGAGAAGTTCCCCCGGATGGGGCAGAAACGTGAGAGAAAGCCCCGGGATCCTGTCTGCCTCCCTACCCCGACGGTAGCTCCCGGTACCTTCTGATTCGAGTTTCATAAGACACTTAGGTGTAGCTCGGTTTCACAAAAGCGAGCCTCCCACGGCTGACACACCACTGACATCAGCCACGCTGCCGAGGGACACCTCCCCAGCGCACTCTTTCCCGTCAGGGAGAGGGGAGCCAGGGTTCTCTCCGGCAGATCTTTCTCAGAAAGGACTTCTCAAACGGGGCAGCCCGGACTCGCAGGCACTGCCTGGGAGGTGAGCCGACTTTGAATCCAGGCACGAATTTCCCCCAGGCTGTTTGAGGAAAACCTTTTTTTTTTTTTTTTTTTTTCACACGCAGGTCTACTCACTGGCCCTCGAACAGGTTCGACAGGAAGAGTCAGGAGGCGGCCTGGCTGTGTTTTCCTCGGCGTCCATTCCCACACACAGAAAACCAGGGCTCCACTTGAAACCTGATCTCGGAGAGCGGCCACCCCCCCCCCCCCCCCCCTCTTATCACTTACAAATGGGAAAGGGCTGGGCTGACTCCATTCAGCCCGCCCAGAGCGGAGAGCCAGGGGGCGCCCCGAACCGGAGAAACCCTCCTTAAAAAAACCGGAGGGCTTCGCCTTTTACAGAGAATCGGAAATAATCACACGGCAACCGGGTTTGCAAAAGAAGTTATGGGAGTCAGGCAGGGCTTCTGAGTGCCAGAAGGGCTCCCTCCTCCCCCGAAATCTTAAGTTTATGCAATAGGTGCTTTTAGATACGAGCCCGGGACAGTAGGAGAGTGGCTCGCAGTGGCACAAACTGAGCTGACAGTGCGGGACTCTGGGTAGAAACGCCCAGGAAACTTCAGGGATGAAGTTAAACCAACAGAATTTGGTTTTGCCTGATTTCTCTCTTTCTCTCTCTCTCTCTCTCTCTCTCTCTCTCTCTCTCTCTCTCTCTCTTTCAGAAGCCAGTCCTCAACGTGCAATTCTCACATTCAAATTAAAATATAATTCAAAGTGAAAATAATAACTCATTTCTCAAAATTACGAGAAAGCTGATATGACATGAACGCCAGTCTGTCTGTTCAGAGCCCAGATCTCTTTGGGGAATCCTTTAGAAATTCCATGTGACTATCTGGTGTGATCCTATCAACGTTTACAGTTGCTACAAATCCTTTTTATTGTAGCTGCGCCTGATCTGGCTGGTGGTTAGATTTAAGATAGTTTTGTTTGATAGGTCTTTTCTTGACATGTGTACCATTATTCTTCCATTACCGCTTTTCAATTGTTTCTGAGTGCTTGTTTTCAAGGGGTAGGAGGAGGCTCTGAAAGTGCCAACGGAGAGAGGGGGAGGCCATTTAAGGGTGCACAAATTCGTGCCACCTAACAGACTACCGGCTATGGATTTCAGCCAGGATGCAGGCTCTTCTCTTGCCCCAATGTATAGCGCAAAGAGTAAACCAGAGGCAGAGGTTCCCTCCGTCCAAACTCATGTGGAGACTTCAGACCAATGAAAAGGGGAAAGAGGAATTGGTTAGGGAAATATCCAAGGCAACCTACTTGGTTTGAAACTCTGCCTTCGGGTAGTACCCTGTGAAAAATAAAAGGACTCTTCATCTCTGGGAAATGAAGAAGGTGCCAAGGGAATTCTGAATGTGAGGAGATGATTCAGGCTCGAAGGAGGCAAAATGGAAGCAGTTTGTACACTTTCAGATTTACTACTCCTGGGACAGTTGTCAGGCATGGCATGTGTCCAGTTAAGACGGTGTGTATGCATGTGTGAACACAAACATATTTGTAATTTTCCTACTAAGCCAGAAAAAAAAAACCAAAACTATCCAAGTCAAAATCCTAATCATGAAGACTTTAAAGAAAGAGAAAGACAAGAAGAGGAGGTGAAAACAAACGTGATTTGTTTTCAGTAGGGTTCAGAACATGGAAAGGACAAGTTTACTAAAGCCGTCTTGAGATAGTGTTCATTGTTGATGCGCACTTAGTAGAAGCCATGCGGTTGAGAATCTGTTGTTTTTAGAACTAATGTTGCTAGTTGCATAAGGGAGATAGCTGAAGGGTGAAAGTAAGACTGTTAACTGGGTCTCCCAGATGTCTCTCTGCTCTAGACTCCTTTGCAATGATTAGTTGTCCCTTTGTAACCGACAGAAGGAAGCAGATGTCAGATAGCTGGCGGCAACCTTAGGTTACTTTGATATTGCAAAAATAAATAAATAAATAAATAAATAAAACAGGGAAAGGAGCGGAGCATAAATAATGTCAATGGAGATAGAATCAAGAAATCACAGTAGGAAGACATATCTCGAAGCCATTAATTATCTTCAAAGAAGGAAGGGTCAAGAATTTGAACACCAAGGTGGAAAGGCATAATGGCATCAAATACTGTTTTGAAAATAAAAATATGTAAAATAATGTATACATATGATGTTTTCGTCCTATTTAGTCATGAAGAAAGCTGAAGGCTTTAGGGAAAAAATTGCCACATTATGATACATAATGTGAAAACTCTTGAAAACCTAGATGAAATTACCCTGCCACACCTCTATGTGAATTAGGGCTGGAGATGAATCAGCCCTGGCTGTTTTTCCAGAGGACCTGCGTTCAGTTCCCAGCCCACAGAGAGCAGCTCACAACTGTAATTCTAGTTCCATGTGGCCTGACCTCCACGGGCAAACAGGCACACATGTGGTACACAGATGTACATGCAAGCAAAAGTCTCTCACACACAAAATTAAATAAATAAAGTCTTAAAAATAAAACAGATTGATATTTAAAAAAAAAAAAAAAGAGTAGGAGTCCTGAAGGACTTTAGGAAATAGATCTGATGTATACCAGTAGATTTTTGACTCATTCCTTCTTAATGACAGTATTTTGTTGCTGTTAGTCATGGCGCTGGCTATCCTGGAAATCACCATGTAGACCAGGCTGGCCTTGAACTCAGAGAGATCTACCTGTTTCTGCCCCCAAGTGCTGGGAGTAAAGGCCTACACCACCATGCCTGGCTCGACAGTATTTTTGGAACAGCTCTCCGGGAAAGGCTCTGTGCTTGTTGCTGAGTAGTTAGCAGGTCCTATCCCTCACGGCAGGCACACACAGAACCATCCAGCCCCTCTACATTTACGAGCAAATTTCCTACTCAGAGCTGTGCTCATCAGCGGGATGCTTACCTCTCCTAAGCCTCGGTTTCCTCTTCTGCTACATGGACCAATGATGCCTGTCCCCAAAAGGTTATCCAAATACAAGTTTATGTTTATAGGGTACTTGGCCCAGAGCCTGACTTGGAATATACATCAGTGAGTAGTTGAGCTAATGTGTTGTGAAGAGTTTGCTACACAGTTGGCTAATTGTTCCTAAATGGACGACTGCCACTTAAGAGCAGAAACAGAGCTGGCAATAGCTATCTGGCTCCACATTTGTCTTTCCACGGAGGAAACAGCTCAGTTATTCTGTTGACAAAGCTGTGTCATCAGGCCTCCCATTTTGAGAGTCTCCATTTCAATGACCACACTGGTCTGGGTGTGCGGATCTCTTGGGTGGTTTCCTGGTGTGTCCTATAGGGAGGAAATCTGTTCCTCTGTCCAGTACCTGGAAGTCACAGAGGAACAAAGGGACAGAGGGGTGGGACATCTGCCTGCCCCACAGACAGACTGGGCAGCAAGCTCCCTCCTGTCTGGAGTAGCCAGGAAGAAGGAATGTACCACAACAAGCAGGGGAATGCGGGAGAACCTGCTGCCTAGGGTAGGGGACATAGCTTGAGGGTCATAAGACCCCCACTCTCCAGGGGGTCACTTTGGACAGAAAGGATCCAG